AGCCTAGGTTGGGTTTGAATTTGGAGTCCTCCTGTCTCAGCCTCCCAGGTATGCACTACCATACCTGCTGGCTTTTGCCTCCCTCCCTCCCTCCCCGTTGTCCCCACGACCCTCCTCCCGTGCTGGCTGCTGTGGTACTCCTGAGCCACATCCCTGTCTCTTCCATTAATACTGAATTTCTTGTATACAAGACTGGTAGTCACTTAGGGGCTGTGGATGGCACAGAAATGTCCACACAGAAATCGAGTTTCCTGATCTGCCCTCTTCACGGGCAGCTCCTGCTGACTTTAGTCTGGTTTCTTTCAGTTTTGTTTTGAGTAAAATTTCTCTTCAGCATTTTCCTCTTGCAGATGCTGTGTGTTAGAGACTGGGTGATGGAACCCCTCTGCGCTGGAGAGTAGAGCTGGTTCTGGGTGTAGGCTCCTCCCGGGAGGGGTCTGCCCCCCAGGGAGATGTGGGCATCCCAGAAAGGCATGGACAGGTGTTGTGGGACCTCAGGGTGCAGAGGGCTGGACTGTGACTGTAGCCCTGACCCAGCACTGGCCACTTTTGGCAGGTCCATCTGTCCATCCTCCTCCCTTCTTCCTTCCAGGATGAAAAGGTGCCCCCCGCCCGCTGGAGGACAGTGGCTCCCCCAGGTGTAGGGCCTATGCTGCCCCATCCAGGTGCCTGCTCTCCTTCCCCTCTCTAAATCCGCACCCCTTCTGAGGTCAGTCCTGAGAAGTCAGTCCTCGTCCCACCCCCATCCCCAACCCCACGGAGGCTGTGGTGAGACCGGTTCCCCTTGTGTCCCATGGCGCCTCCTGGGAGCATTCGGCATCATGGAGTTTGTCCCCAGGGCTCTGTCCCTTTCTAGGTCTGGCACACCCCGCACTCCTGTGCCCTGCTCTGTCTTCAGGCGGCTGATACCCCCAAGGTGCAGAGGTCTAGCAGGTGGCCTGTGACAAGGCTGTGGGAGAAAGCATAGGTCTCCCTTCCTCTCCTTTCTGTCTCTTCTCAGTGTTGACCCAAGCACTCGGCTGTACCCCTGAGCCTGCCCCTCCAAGGTTGCTGCTCCTGCCAAGCACTTGATCCCCAAGCTGTACAGCCCTGCCCTCTTCCCTGTCCAAAGTGTGAGGTCTGCCAGCAGTGTCAGTGAAGTCAGTGTCCCCGATCAGATATGTTCCAGAATCCACAGATGTTTGCATGCCAGACTCATGAAGGCAATTTGGGTGTTTGGAGCCTTACAGATTTTGGGTTTTCTTATTAAAGGTGCTCAGCTGGGAACATCTGTGAACGTTGTTCCACAGTCTGAAAAACTCCGGGATCTGAACCACTGTGGTCTGGGCCTTGGAATGAAGGCTGCGGGCCCTGTGGTGTGTTTGGGTTGGTACAGTGGCATTTCGTGGCATAGATGGTGTTGGTTAATGAGACAACCTCAGAGATCTAGCTCTAGTTTGTGACTCATTATCATGATGATGATGATGATGATGATGATGGAGATAGGATTTCTCTCACTATGTAGTCCAGGCTGGCTGTGAACTCACTGTGTAGCTCAGACTGGACTCAAACTCAAGCTCTCAGTGATCCTCTGCCTCAGCCTGCCAAGTGCTGGGATTACAGGAATGTACCACCACGTTTGCTGACCTGGTGTGCCTGATCTGGCCAGGGGCTGTGGTCTCAAGTCCTCTTTGAAAACCTGGACCTTGCCATAGCATCCTGATCTTTGGCAGTGTTTGTGGACTGAGGCTCCTGGGCCAGTTGGCAGTGATGTTTATAACTCTCAGCAGTGTTGGGGTGGAGGGTCCTGGAGTTGGTACTGCCTCAAAGCTCCACATCACTGCTCCCCATCCTGGGACTCAGTGGCCTGCAAGGTGGTACTGGGGGGCCTTCACCTTCGCCTCCTACTGGGAGGATCTGCACGGTATTCCACTTGGCTGCCACCCAGGGGCTGATAGGACCAGACCTTGGACCCCATCGCAATGGCCCTGTTGTTTAGCTGTGCAGCCTGAGGCCTGGCCTGTACCAAAACAGGGTGCTGAGGCCACCTGGCTCCTGGCCCTCTGCCCTGTCTGGCAGTCCTGTAGCCCATAGTGGCTGGGCTTTCCTCTTGGGGTGCTTTATCCTGGGATAGAAGGGGTCCTAAAGAGCTAGAAGGGCGATCCAGGCCCCCACCCATTCTAGGGTCCTGTGTCATTCCTTCCTCAAGGCTGGTTTCTCCCTGTCCTGAGCTCTGTGCTCAAAGTACTCTGGTGTGCTGGGAAGCTGGTCCTGCTGACCTTGGGGAAGAGAGGCCACTCCCAGCCTTGCATCCTCCCCAGGACCAGGGGTGTGGCTGCCAAGGAGGCCCTGGGCTGCAGAGGGGAAGACAGCACCCACCCAGACACCGCCCCCCACTGAACAGCTGCACTTGTCCTTCCTTGGGTAGGGGAGGGGTCACCCCACCCCAGTGCTGTGCAGTGAGGTACAGGACTTCACGTGGGTTTGGGCCAGGCTGGCTGAGCACTGGGCTGGGCTTCGTGGCCCTCGCCCTGGCACCATACACCCTCTGCTGGGTCTCACCCTGCTCCCACAGCTAGGCTATAACCCTGTGGGCTAGAGAGGACCACCCTGTAGGCCCTGAGGCCTGCTCTCTTGGCCCCTCTGGTAGCCATGAGGTCTGGTGTAGCTCAAGTCACGGGGGTGGGGGAGGTTCCAGCAGGGTCATGGGTTCATAGGAGTTTTCAGAGCAGAAGTGCTGTGGGGGGCCTGCCCAGTACGGGCAAGGACGTCAGCACCCTCTCCCTGTCTGTCTGCCACCTTGTCTACAGTCTGGTCCCCTCTTCCATGAGGGCAGGCCGCTCCCTGTCTGGACCCAGCAGTACATGTCCTAGCTGGGGGGCGGGGGAGGTTCCAGCAGGGTCATGGGTTCATAGGAGTTTTCAGAGCAGAAGTGCTGTGCGGGGCCTGCCCAGTACGGGCAAGGACGTCAGCACCCTCTCCCTGTCTGTCTGCCACCTTGTCTACAGTCTGGTCCCCTCTTCCATGAGGGCAGGCTGCTCCCTGTCTGGACCCAGCAGTGCATGTGCTGGCTGCCCACGGCCATTGCAGGACCTCTGCTCTCCCTGCCGTGCAGCACCCAGGAGCCCTGGTGTGGGCAGCGCCCAGAGGAGGAGAGGAGTGGCTGACACCGAGGGCAGTAACACGTCCGAAGTCCCCTCCGGGGACAGGGCAGATCATCAGTGAGCTGACCGACAGGGATGGAGAGGAAGAAGTAGCACAGAGCTTGGAGCCAAAAGGGTGTGAGAGTTCCAGGCCTGCTGAGGCTCAGCCGGTGGGATGCACGGACAGCAGCTGTAGGCTGGAAGCCCAGGATAGGTGGGGGCAGCTGGTGCCCAAGTCTGGGAGCCTGTTCATCCAAGATTGGGAACCACCACCAGCTTAGTCACAGCGTGGTCAACCCATGGCACCTAGTGGTGCCAGGAGAGAAGGCCTTGTCTTGCCTTCCGGGGCAGCACAGAGTCTCCCCAGGTACCTGTGGCGGCGTATGGGAGGCCTGCTCTGTTCGGCCCCCTTGGTGGGCTTTGCAGGGTAGCTGGCAGCCTATTCCCTCCGGCTCCAGGCCCACCAAAGCACGTGTTCTGGCAAGGCCTATGCCAGGGCCTGTCTGGGAAGCCGGTTCCTGAGAAAGGTTGCAGGCAAGTTCTGTCTCTGGCAATGATGATGGACACTTTGGTTGCCAGGCTGCCACAAGCCCTGTAGGTCAGGGACTGACTCTAGGCCTCCCAGAGTTTTCCAGTGCCAAAAGTGGCTGGGTGGGGTCTGGGCCTCAGCAGCGGTCAAACTATGGGTGTGAACTGGGCTTTGAGTAGCCACTTGAGGCGTGTGTGGACCATTCAGGTAACTGACACAGAAACTTTTCCTTCTGTTTTTTTGAGACAGAGACTCATTGTGTGTTTCAGGCTGGCCTTGAACTCACTGTGTAGCTCAATCTGGCCTCAATCTCATGGCGATCCTCCTGCCTCAGCCTCCTGAGTACTAGGATTTCAGGTGTGCACTGTCACTCCTGGCTGGAAATTTTGTCAGAACTCGAGCTCATTCCTCCACTTGTCACTTGGTGAACTCCAGGGTGGATTTTCTTTAAGACTGTGGCTCTCCAGCGCCTTATTTCCCTGGTCAGTCGGGATGTCGAGGCCTGGGCTCTAGTGGCCGCCTCAGAGTCCTGTGCAGGGCCTGCTGTGCAGTACCAGCCACTTCCCGCAGACAGACCTGTGGTGCTGTCCTCCCTCGCCTCCTGTCTCCCATCTCCCTCGTCTCTGTCTCAGTGAGGGTTAACAGCACTTGAGCTTGTTGTCTGGAACCGGTTTAGACTGGTTTTCTGGAAAGTGCTTTGTCTCGCAGACTGCATCCTGGGAAGGGTCATGTGGAGCCCAGTGATGTCATGGGATCAAAAACTGACTCAGCTGTTTTGTCCTTCTTTTCTTTCTTCTTTAAATCAAGATATGTGTGTGCTTGCAGGTACAGGGTGGTGGCTCGGTGACAAGCCAGGCCCCAGGCTACTCCCAGTACACCTTGATGGTACCAAAAGGGTTAAATGTGACCCTCACCCTCACCTTTCCCAGAGCAGCAGCATGGGCAACTGAGTCAGTGCAGTGACTCGTAGGACAGCAGGGTTGTCATCCCCTCCCGTCTGGGTCCCTCACATCTCAGTGCTGTGTAGGTCAGCAGTCCACTGGGAGGGCTGGTTTCTGCATGCTTACAGGCCAAACATCCGGAGCTTCTTTCTTTCTGATGTGTGGCCCTGCCGTTGCGCCTGGCCAGCCCCTGATCCCTGGACCCTGTCCAGATTCTTGGGTACCTCAGACACCGGGCACCCTCCTTCCCAGCATCCCATGGGGCTGTGAAGAGTGTCCAGGTGTGCCTCTCAGGCCCATGTTTGTTGTGCCCACTCAGCTGCCCCCATACACGAGGCCACACCCTGACAAGTTCTGGTGGGTGGCCCTGGGCCATGGTCCATTCCAACACTGTCTTCTCCCCTCAAGTCCAGAATGACCGAGGAAGCATGCCAGACCCGGAGCCAGAAGCGAGCCCTTGAGCCCAACCTGCCGGAAGATGATGCGGAGAGCAAGAGAGTAAAGATGGAGCGAGGACTGTCGGCTTCAGACCTCAGCCCCGAGGGTGACGCAAGGGTGACTCCAGAGCCGGGTGCAGGCCCAGCCCAAGGACTGCTGAGGGCAGCGGAGGCCCCCACGGCAGCTGTGGGCAGAGGTGACGGGCTGCTAGGCGATGGGCCCGTGGACATGCGCACCTCCCACAGGTGAGCAGGGCGGCGGTGGGTAGGCCAGCTGTGCTGGGCTGTTGTGAGTGTGGCCGTGGGCCCTGGCCCTGCTGTCACTCTGCCAGCCAGCTGCCCCAGACAAGCAAGGTCCCTCTTGGGGCCCTGCGGCCTGATTGGAGTGGCTAGAGGTGTGATCTCTGTCACCTCACTGCTGCTAGTGAGCAGGGCTCCACTTTGCTCAGCTAAATGCGCCTGCCACCTGCCAGTCAGCTGCTGCCTTTGGTGTACAGGAAAGAGGAGTCTTTCGTCCAGCTGTGCTTTCTGCTTTTCAGATCTGAATGCAGCTCAGGAGGCCAGGGATGCTATGCCCTGCCGGTGCACAGCATTGGTGTTGCCATGCAGAAAGGGCCTCTGGTGGTCTAGGTCACCACCCTCAGCAGAGCCCCTGTAGACTGCCGTGCTGTTTCTTGTCAGTTCAGGGTGACTCTGCCCATCCTCTGCTGCTGTGGGGCTCAGCTAGGTGCATACCTGTCAGCCCAGCACTCTGGGCGCCTGAGGCAAGAGGATGGACAATTTGCACCCAGCCTGGACAGTTGAGTGACTCAGTAAGAGCTTAGGAGTGAAAGATGAAAGGAGTGTCAGACAGAGCTTGATGGGAAGGCCTTGGGTTCCATCCTGTGTGCTGAAGGGAATGGGGAGGAGGGACTGTCTTCACCCCATTTCTTCATTCAGTTTTCTTTCTCCCCATAAAGAGACATTCAGACCGGACCCAGCTTTACATGTTGCTGGGATTGCTCCAGAGTATCTCATAGCTCCTTAGGGCACAGGGTTCCTGCTGTCCACTGGACACCCCTAAACACTATCCAGGCTAGACATTCAGAGACAGGTGGCCCTCGCCTTCTCTGTCAGTGTCCACTGACCCTGAGCGCCGATCTCTATCCTCAGTCCACTTTAGAGCCAAGAGGAGGGGTGGTGGGGCTCCCACTGGGTGCCTAGTGTTTCCTAGCACCTGGACTCGTACCTCCTCCCTTGGACCCTGCTGCCCAGAGCCCTTCCTCTGCCTTGCTTCCTGCATGCTGTCTGGACCCCAGCCTGTGCTTACATGCAGGCTCAGGGCTCTTCCTTCTTCAGCAGGGAGAGGGTCTGTGACACCCCAGTGAGGTGTCTTTGGCAGCCAGGTGAGCAGAGGTTAGGGGTGTCTTTGAGGACTCTCCTAGGTGCCTCTGTGTTCTGGCCTTCTGCTTGGTGTTTTCTCCCCTAGTCACTGAGTGGCCTTCGGGGTGGGTCTGGGTGACAGGCAGAGAGAGGTTGGATGTTGACGGAGTTCATAGCTGGGACTCAAATCCAGAGCTCTCCGTTGCCAAAGTCCAGGGTCCCCTCCAGGCCTTGTGGTCATTTTCTGCACTGGGCCATCAGCTTCCAGAACTGAGACGACTTAGAAGGTGCAACATTTACTCACTGAAGTCTATTGGGATGCTTTTCTTAGGACTTACGTAATATGCCCTTGGTTATCCAAGGGACAGGGATCTGTGTGGTGGCAGAGCAGCCCAGCCTTGCAGGCTGGTGGGCAGGTTGGGGTCGAGTTGGCCAGGCAGGGGACTGTGGCCTGTGTACCTCACTGGTAAAGCAGGCAGCAGTCTCCGCCTTGCAGCTTGACGTGGTGTGACATGGGGTGCGTGCTGGGTCTCAGAGGCCCCTGCACCAGTGTTGGTGACTGTTCCCCTCTGCTGTCCCTGGCTGTGAAGTGAGCTGTCCCCTCCTCCAGGGGAGGGGACAGCTTGGATCTGCGGGAGCTGGGCTTGGATCTGCGGGAGCTGCAGAGCCCTTCTGGGCCTTTGCTAGCCACAGGCTGCCTGAGGTCCTCACTGAGAGGCTGACGGGCACTTGGGGGCAGCTTGGTGTGTTTCACAGGCTTGAGTCCACTCACCCCAGGAACAGCTGTGTCCAGCCACAGTGCAGGTTGCTAAGGCTTCCAGCTCTGGGCTCAGCATGTCATTTGAAACTTGTGCCAGGAGAATTTAATTTTCATTCTTTAACTCCTTATCAAAACACAGCAGACGTAATGAAAAGATACGTGCTGCAAGGTACATTTCCACAGCGACGCATCCTAGGAGTCCAGAGCGAGAGAGGAATACGCAGCCTGGTGGCTCAAAGGTGCTGTCCTCCACGGCCAGCCCACCTGACCTCCAATGCCAACAGCTTGCCTGTGTTGTAGGGACGAGGTTGCCTTCACTCTCTCCTCGTGTTCAGAATCCTCTTCATGTGACTGCTCCCTTCCCCTGCACTCTGGGTGACCAGCCCCCTTGGCTGCCAGTTCTGATCCATGGATCAGAGATGCCTGGGATGGTAGGGTGTAGCTCAGGCGTGGCACCCACCTGGTATGTACTCCAGAGGATGACATCTGCGCAACACTTACTGTGAAGTTCTTAGTCCTTGAGGTCATTTAAACCCCGCCTGTGCCTTTTACAAAGGTCTTCAGCATTCTGCTGGACGCCTTGGAGCCTGGGCCCCTCCTATACCAAGAGTCGTGACTGTATTTTGTTCCTAGAATTTCTGTTCAGCTTTTTCTGAATCACTTCATTTTCTGTGATGCTATTGCCTGTCTTATGGGCTATCTTGGGTATTTGGAAGGGCAGAGGTGATTTTTAGTGGTTTCTAGGAGAAGGAAGTTCCTACTTCTTGAAGAGAGTGGCAAAGGGCTGGAGATGTAGTTCAGGGGCACAGTGCCAGCCTGGCAAATGAGAGGTCCTGAGTTCAATTCCTGGTACCTAAATAAATTAATAATAATGAAAACTTTAACATATGAGCCAGGCATGGTGCATGCCTATAATCCTAGTACTTGGGAGGCTCCCAAGGTAGGAGGATCCCTGTTAGTTCGAGGCCAGCCTGGGCTATATAGTGAGACCCTGTCTCAAAAAAAAAAAAAGTGGCTATGGCTTGATATCACCAAGGTAGATATACTTATAGACCCACTGGCACATGCTCTGTTGTGGGTGACTTGGAACAATCTTGAGGGGAGGAAGTGACAGGACCCTGCCCCTGGAACTTGTTGCAGGTACTGTTTCTGATTTAGTCTCTGTAGCTCGTATTCTGTAGCTGAAGTTGGAGGGCAGCTTCCCATTAGGATTGAGACATTGGTTACTTCTCAGAATGCAGCAAGGGAGGCATAGTGACTTAAAAATGGCTGGGCTCGCGCTCAGCATGGAGGCCCCAAGTGTCACAACAGAAAAGCCAAAACCAAAGCAGCAGCAAAAACCAAATGCCTATAATCCAGTGCTTGGGAGGCCAAGGTGAGGGCAGCCTGAGGGCATGTGGAGACCCTGTCTCAGCACCTCCCCTCACCCCTCAGCAATGACAGTGAAAGCCAAGTGGCGGAAAACACTCTGAAAATCAGCTCCAGGCATGTGGCAGTTGAAGGTTTTGTGCTGAAGAGTTGGCACTCTCAAGTGAGCGAGTGGGGAGGCAGCACTGGTGGGATTGCTCCTGGGTTGAGGACCAGCAGCGCCCGTGAGGGTGTGGAGCCTAGAAGGACTGTTTGAAGTGATGGCCAAGGACACCCTTACCTAGGACCTCAGCCATTGCCTGGTGTCCCCACGCAGGGGTGCGCATTCCGAGGCACAGCACAGGGAAGGTGGAGGAGGTTCGGGAGGAGCTCTGACTGCAGCAAGAAGCTGGGGGCGTGAGCGTTAGCTGACTGCTCACTGAGGCACAGGGACAGGAGTCAATGTGGCATTGGAGGTATCAGGAGGGAGGACACTGTGGACCCAGGGCTCTCCCTTTAGCAGATGCCCTGCGAAGGTGAAGGTGGGTAGGGGAGGGTCTGCTGAGCAGATGGAGAGGCTGCTGGTGGTGTACCCAGCCCCTTCTTGAGGTTGGGGTGACCCTGGTCGTGGCAGGAAAGTGGGCTGGCAGGTGAAGTTGTTACCTCAGCTCACTGAAAGCTGCCCAGTGGCCGGTCGGGCTCACGGTATACTGGATGCACCATCAGCCTGGTGCAGAAGCAGAGAGGGAAATTGCATAGTGCGGCAGTTTGTATTTCCCTAAGTCACATTAGTGTTATTCCCAGGTGAGCACACACCTGTAATACCAGCACCTTCGAGGCTGAGGCAGGAGGATCACAAGTTCAAGGTCACCCTGAGCTATGTAACCAGGTCCCATGTCAAAAAAGAATGATCATGATTAATTAAGATGCTCATTGCAATCACTAGAACAACTATTAAGAAAATAAAAGATGGGGCTGGGGATTTAGCTCAGCGGCATGAGCGCTTGCCTTGCAAGCAGGCAGTCTTGAGTTCGATCATCCCTGGTACCGTTAAAAAGGAAAAAGACAAAAAAAAAAAAAAAAGATAAAGCCAGTACATTGTGCATACCTGTGATCTCAGCCCTCAGGAGGCTGAGGCAAGAGGATCACTGTGAGGCTCAGGCCAGCCTGAATTATAAAAAATAAAAAGAAACAAACAGAACTCCAATGATACAGTTGTTTAGTGTGCGCTACTGACAAAAAAAATTAAAAAGACAGTAAAAGAAAATTGGCAGAGCACAAAGAATCAGAGTGACCCATTGACAGCATTCACATGGAGGAAGGAGGTGACTGAGGGATAGAGGCACAAAGGAAGACGTGTAGGAAACCAGCGGCAGAATGGCAGATGTGAGCCTGGCCATGGCAGTGCTGCAGTAGGGACCAGTGATTCTAGTACCTCAGCCAGAAACTGGTATAAGCTTTGTCGGCCCAGTGCTCAGGAGGCTGAGGCTGGAGATGTCTCCCTGAGTCCCAGGCCAGTCAGGACTACACAGTGAGATCCTTGCTCGAGGAGAGGAAGGTAAGGGCAGGGGCTGTCCAGTGTTGGATAAAAGACATGCTCCAGCTCAGTACTTGGTCGTTGAGGAGGGTCACCCTTAGATTGAAGGCAGATGTGAGGGGATGTGGGAAGGTACACCCCAGTACCATCTCATTGTGCAGGTAAGAGATAAAGTAGACCTCAGGACAGCAGCTGCTGGAATTGGAGGCGCACTTGGTGATGCCTCTGGAGTCCACAGCA